ACCTGAGCAGCAGGATGCACTGGCTGCCCGTACTGCGGCGGCGGCGGGGCCTGGTAGGCTGGCGGCTGCTGCTGGTAAGTGGGGGGCGGGGCGTAGTTTTGCTGCTGCTGCTGATAAGCTGGGGGTTGCTGCTGCTGCTGGTAGCTGGGCGGCGGCTGCTGCTGCTGCTGCTGCACGTACCGCTGGTCTCCCGCGTAGTAGGCTTGCTGCGGCGGCGGCGGCTGCTGCTGCTGCTGCTGCGGCGGCTGCTGCTGCTGCTGCTGCCGCGCGTCCTGCGCATATGCGTACTGAGCAGCAGGCGGCGGCGGAGCGGCGTAGCCGCCAGCGGGGGGCTGCTGGTAGCCCTGCTGCTGCTGCTGCTGCTGCTGCTGCTGCTGCGGGGGCGGGCTGGGCGGCGTGTACTGCTGCTGCTGCTGCTGCGGCGGCGGCGGAGGGCCCCTGGGTATTGCTGCTGGGTCCGTGGGCATGTACTCAGGGGGGGGGGGAGCCTGCAGCAAAAAGAAGAAATTTCAACCACAAAAGCTGCAGCAGCAGCGCCCCTAGGTGTGCAGACTACGGCTAACTGCTGCTGCTGCTGCTGCTGCTGCTGCGGCTCACCTGAGGCGGCGGCTGCGCCGCGAGCGCCGCTTGGTCGGGCCCTGCGAGGCAGCAAATGGCAGCAGCAATAGCTGCTGCTGCTGCTTGCATCTGTCCCCTCATGGTGCGCTGCTGTGTCTCTCCAGCGGTTCACTACTGCTGCTGCTGCTGCTGCTGCTGCTGCTGTGGCTGTCTCGCCTCAGGCCCGAGCGTTAGTGCTGCCGCCCCGAAGCAGACAGGCTCATAAGAACTGCTGTTGCCCTCTTGTTAAATAGGCAAGCTTGGAAAGACGGAAAGAGGCGCTGCTGCTGCTCCCGCTGCTGCTGCCGCCGCTGCTGCTGCTGCTGCTGCTGCTGGCTGCTGAACCTGGGCCCCCGTGTCTCTGCTGCAGCTGCGGTGGAGCCGCGCTGCTGTCTCCTGCTGCGGCTAAAGCGTAACGTTAAATATTAAATTAATTTCCTGCTGCATGCATTAGACGAATAAGCCTCCGCAAGACAGCTGTTGCTGCTGCTATCGCTGCCTCACTCACTGCAGCAGCAGCAGCAGCAGCAGCAGCCCTGCTGCTGGCTGCCGACCAGCGCGTTCACTATGAACGGGCCCCTGCGGCGGTTTGCATTGCTGCTCCTGCATTAAATAGAGATATGCATGCGTTTAAACATAATTATTTAATTAAATTTAAATTAATTAATATTTTAAAACGATAAGAATGCCGGAAAACCTCATCAGCACGGCCAGACTGTGGTAGGGGCTTTTTGCCTGAGGCGCCGCCCCTCAGCTGCTCCAGCCCTCTAGTGCAGCAGCAGCAGCAGCCGCTGCTGCCGCTGCTGCCGCTGCTGCTGCTGCTGCGATTTTGGGTTTCTGGGTCTCTCATCCTTTTCTTCTTTTCCTTTTGCTTCGCCGTCTCGATTTATTTAAACGAAAATGGGGGCGTGTAAGTCTGAGCTGCTGCCGGTGGGCTGCTGCGTCGTGCTGCGGGCGCTGCTGCAGCAGCCCACAGGGGTCTGCTGCTGTTTGCTGCTGCGCATTAATGGACTTCTTTTTATCCCGTTTCGTTTAGTTCATTGTTATATTGAGTTTCGTGCTGCGCTGCTGCGTTTGGCTGCTGCTGGGGCCCTCGGAAGGGCGGGGAGGGGCGGGGCTGCTGCGTGGGGCGCTGCTGCCGCAGTTGTGTGCTGCTGCTGGGCATATGCCTCATTGTTTCTTTCTTCTGCATTCTGAATCTTGCTGCTGGCTCCCCTCCTTCCTGGCTCTGTTGCGTTCCCGTTGCTGCTGGCCCTCTGCCTCACACAATGCATGCAGCTCCGGGCTGAGTAGCAGCAGCAGCAGCAGCAGCAGCCGCTGCTGCTGCTGCTGCCTCTCGCCGCTCCCTGCACGCCTGCGCAGCTTCCGCGCCCGACTGTGCGGGCCCGCCTCGCCCCGCAGCCCGCGCTCGCTGCAGCCGCCGCCACCCCCGCCGCTGCTGCTGCTGCTGCTGCTGCTGCTGCTGCTGCTGCTGCTGCTGCTGCTGCAGGCAAACCTCGGGGCATGCGCACTGCGCGGAAGCTGCGCAACCGGCGGCGCGTGCAGAAGTGGGCGGACAAGCAGTACAAGAAGGCCCACCTGGGCACTCGCTGGAAAGCCAATCCTTTCGGGGGCAGCTCCCACGCCAAGGGCATTGTCGTCGAGAAACTCGGGATCGAGGCCAAGCAGGTCCGCTGCTGCTGCTGCTGCTGCTGCTGCTGCTGCTGAGCGCGTGCTGCTGCTGGGCGCTGGGCGCGGGCTCCTGCGGGGGTCGGGTCTTGCTGCTGTGGGGCTGGGGTTTTGCTGCTGGGGCCTTGCTGCTGCTGCTTTGGGGTCTTGCTGCTGCTGCTTTGGGGTCTTGCTGCTGCTGCTGCTGCCGTGTGTTGCCGCTGCGCGTACCTGGCGCCTCATCGTGCAGTTTTCGCTGCTGCTGCTCCGCAGCAGCCGCAGCAGCAGCAGCAGCAGCAGCAGCAGGTGCGTGTGCGTGCGGGCGCAGCCGAACTCTGCGATTCGGAAGTGCGTGAGGGTGCAGCTGATAAAGAACGGCAAAAAGATAACAGCTTTTGTCCCGCGAGATGGCTGTTTGAACTACATCGACGAAAACGACGAAGTCCTCGTCGCTGGCTTCGGCCGCTCCGGCCACGCAGTCGGAGACATTCCCGGAGTCCGATTCAAAATCGTCAAAGTCTCCGGAGTTTCCCTCCTCGCCCTCTTCAAGGAGAAAAAGGAGAAACCCAGGTCTTAAGCTGCTCCTCCACGCGCCCGGGGGGCCCCTGGGGGGCCCTGGGGGGCCCCCGGGGGGCCCTGGGGCACTTCGGGGGCCCCCGGGCGGCCCCGGGGGGGCCCCAGGGGGCCCCCGGCTCGGAGCTAGCAGCAGAGGCGCTGCTGCTGCTGCGTGACGCTTTTGAATTAACGGTTGGGGGGGACTGGCGAGGGCTGAAAGTGCTGTTGCTTTGGCGGAGTCGAGGGAAGTTGCTGCTGCTAGGCTCTGGAGGCTGCAGTTTACTTGTTGAATTTGCAATTCCTTACTGCTTTCTTCTAGATCTTTAGTGCTGCAGCAAAGAAATTGCTGCCTAGGGTTAGGCATTTGGTGTCAGTGAAGGTAGGCCCGGAGAACTGCGGGCAAATTCAGTTCTAGTTCGCGTCAGTTTTGCAAGTTACAAAGCTGGGGCTGAGAAAGCGGCCCCGTAGGAGTGGCGCAGCCCCCAATAGACATTTTCGTTACGCGAAAACGCCTTAGTAATATTTTTCAGAGTAATATTTTTCAGAAACTTTCTTGCAGCGTACCGCCTCAGCAGCTGCTGCGAGGGCTCGTGCAGAGGTGAGCATACAGCCGAAACGCGCACGGCCGCCTGCGCAGCAGTTTCGCGATTCAAGTTTTCTGCATTGAGTTCAAGTTTGGAACTTGGTGTGGGAAGTGCCCACTGAGGTCAATTAGAGCTTCCGGAGCTCGTTGCAAACCCGCTTACCTCGGCATTTTTCGTCTTTCCATCTTGAATTTTGCAAATGTTTCCTCCGTCCTGCAGCTCTGGGCGCCCCCGCAGAGCAGCGGAAACCCAGGGAATGCAGCAGCCGCAGGGCGCTTGCGGCGGGAATCTTTCGTTTCGGAGTTCCGAAGTGCAAATTAAAATGCTGGAGCTCGCGAACGAAGTGGCCAGCGACGTGGCTGCTGCGCACGCGAAAGTTCTTGAACTGGAATGCCGCGCGCAGCTGGACGAAAAGCTTTCTCAAGTCTGCCGGCTGGCCGAGGGGGTGTTTTCGTTTTCTGCGGGGCTTGAGAAGACGCAGAAGCTGCAGCAGCGTCAGCTCCCCTTGCCCCGTTTTGCTGCTGCTTGCTGCTTCATTTCCTGTTGCTGCAGAGCTGACGCAGACCACGGCCGCCGCGGACCGCCTCAGCGCCAAGACGCTGCTGCTGCAGGAACAGACGCTGCTGCTGCAGCAGCAGGCCCTCGAGATGCAGCGCGAGTACGAGGCGCTGCAGAGCAGCACAATTCGGGAGCTTTGCCGGTGAGGCTGCTGCTTCTTGCTGCTGCGCTGCTGCAGCAGCAAATGCACATTTGACCCCACAGGCAGCAGGAGCTTCGGGAGCGTCTCAAGGCAGCTCGCGTGAGATCGAAGCCGCCTCCGCTCGTTCAAAAACCGCCAACCGCAGCAGCAGCTGCAGCAGCACAAGCAGCGGCAGCAGCAGGGGGAGCGCACTGTCAGGTCCGCAAGACAACAGTTGCTTCTTTTTTTTCATTTATTTGCTGCACCAACACAGAGCAGGGGGCCCCACCCGGACCTTCTCCAGGGGCCCCCCGCGGGCGACGGGGGCCTCGCAGCGGCTCTGCAGTCAAGCGCCACACGCAGCCAATCCCCAGCAGCAGCAGCAGCTGCTGCTGCTGCTGCTGCGCCAGCAGCATGCGACAAGGAGAAGCAGAAAGGGAGCGCTCCCCCGCTAACTGTGTACCTGCAGCAGAAGCCTCACTTCGGAATGCTTCTGGTACGTTTCGCAAGCAGCGCCACCGAACTCGTTCCTCCTCTAACTTGTAAACTGCTGCTGCTGCTGCTGCTGCTGCTGCTGTTCAGGGAGGCGGGGTTCGGCGGCCTGGGAAGCGGGCGATGACTTTTGCTGCGACGGCGCCCTCCGTAAGGCCGCAGACATGCAGCAGCTGTTTTCTAAGTGCAGCAACCTCTCCCAGGGTTTCCGCAAGATCCGCAACACGAATCGAGCTTGTCAGCAGCAGCAGCAGCAGCAGCAGCAGCAGCAGCAGCGTTCCTGAGCTGGGGCGCGTTGCTGCGCGTGTCTGCGTGTGGCTCGCGCTTGGCGCGTTTTTGGGAACGAACTGAACTAGTGGCGCAGCTGTTGCCGCCGCCTCCGCTGCTGCTGCAGCGTGAGCTGGCTGCTGCTGGTGCAAAAATGTGGAACAAAAAGTAGTTGCCGTGACGACTTGTCACAGTGTTGGAGGTGGTGCTGCTGCTGCTGCTGCAGTGCGTTGGTGCGCGGCGCCGCGCTGCTGCGGGGCCCTCCCCGCTGCAAGACTACAAAAAAACCGAAGGCGCGGGCGGGGGCGGCGGTGCGTGGAGGCGCAGCGCAGCAGCAGCGCAGCAGCGCAGCAGCAGCGCAGCAGCTAAAAGTTGTGGAAGAGGGCCTGCTGCGTGGCGGGGTCTATGGGCGGCGCGGAACTCTCGGTGGACTCCGCGTAAGTGTCGAACATGCTGCTGTCGCGGGGCCCCCGCGTGTTGGGCTTGTAGGGCGGGCGCAGCTTGCGGCGCAGGCAAAGGCCCCAGTCCAGCCCGCGGAAGAACTTGTGGTTCTTGACGTCGAGGGCCCCGTCCTTGAGGCAGCCGTAGCGCTTGTTGGGCTCGTGGATGAGGAGGCGGCGGACGAGGGACTTGGCCGCGGAGTCGAAGAGCGGCGGAAACTCGATCTTGCCCGCGATGATCTTCTTGTAGATCCCCAGCGGCGTGTCGTCCACGAAGGGCGGCCGCCCCGCCAGCATCTCGAAGAGCAGAATGCCCAGCGCCCACCAGTCCACCTGCAGCCCGTGGCCCCTGCGGGTGATGGACTCGGGCGCGAGGTACTCGTGGGTGCCGCAGAGCGTCCAGGTGCGGCCCGTGACCACCTTCGCGAAGCCGAAGTCCGTTATCTTTATGTGCCCCTGCGCGTCCAGCAGCAGGTTCTCCGGCTTCAAGTCCCGGTACACGATGCTGCGCTCGTGCAGGTACTCGAAGGCCAGCGTTATCTCCGCGCAGTACAGCCGCGCCTGCTCCACGGACACCGAGATCTGCTTCCGCAAGTAGCTGAACAGCTCGCCGCCGTTCACGTACTCCATCAGCAGAAACAGCCGCTTCTCGTCTTGAAACGAGGCCTGACGCGCAGCCACCACGCCCCACTCCCCCTCACTTCTTTACTATTCTGCTTGCTCATTTATTATTCTTATTCACTGTTCTTAGTTGCTATTCTTATTCATTATTCTTCGTTGTTTTCTGCGGTTCGCTCTTGTTTCCTGTTTCGCTTCAGATTCAAGTTCACACTCAACTTCAGACTCAAGTCACATTCAACTTCAGACTC